TTACTCGTTACAAATGAAAAAGAATAAATAATGCGAGCACCATATGACTCTCTTCGTTCTATTTCTTAGGCGTTTAGTGGCGCTTCCTACGTATTCTCCCATCTTCAGTCCAATAAATTCATGGATTGCGGGTCACTAAAATTAGGAATGTATGATATCTATATCACATAACAGTTATTGAAGGGGGTGCCAAGGGTCAGTGGACACTTTTTTGACAGTTTCCCCCCCCCCCCCCCCCCCAACCACCATGAGCAGAGACCACTGCATGTTCGGGGTCTTGGGAAGTGGGAGGGCCTGGTCCAGCCCAGCACACACCTTCCCGGAGTGGAGGCTGCTTGGCAGGCGCCTTGGGTGCTGGTCAGCCTGCGTGTCAGTCAGGTTGGCCCTGCGGTCTCTGAGGCCACCAGCAGAACACACGTTTCTCGTGTTTCATCTCCTTGGCTTTATTGATTGGTCATTGATTGTTGATTTATTAATCCAGTTTGGTTCAGGCCGACGCAACAGACATTTTCGGAACATTTACTGGGTGCCAGGTGCTAGGACCACAGAGAACTCACGGTGACTGAACGCAGTGTCCAGATCCCGGGGGTCCCGCCAGCAGCAGACCCACGGGCGGCCCTCCCAGATGTCAAAGGGTCCCATCTGACAGGGTGCTTTCATCTGCCACTGGCTTCCTTGGAATAGAGCAGTAGAAACCCCAGGATCTGGTTTGGTAGGAGGAGAAATGAAGGAAGAGGAAAAGCAGGCAGGGAAGGGGGCTGGTGGAGGAATGAGGAGGGAGGAGGGAGGCGGGCTGGGGAGGGGAAGGAATGCTGCTCAATGCTCCCACCTGGTGGTGGCCTCGGGAGCTGCAGGGCCTAGAGGGAGGCTGTGTGAGATGCGGCAGCTTGCTGGAGATTTTGTTTTTGGACTTCCTGTGCAGGTCCAGCCACCCGCCGCTACGTGAAGGATTCGGGAACCCCTGTCAGCTCTGCCGCTGCCCCCCAGTCCCTCCGCAGCCCTTCGTTCTGCACACGCCCCTCCAAAACCGATGAAGCTCATTGTGGGGCCTCCGTTTCTTCCTCAGCCGTAGGAGGAAGAAGCCAATTAAAAGCTCATAGTATGAACAGGCCTTCCTGTGTGATTCATTTGCGCTAATGTGTGCGTGGGGCCCGGGGTAGGGGGAGGCGCTGTCATTTGCTTGGGGGCCGTGCAGGAGGGATCTGGCCAGGGGACCATACCTGGTGGTGGAGAGACCAGCTGACATCGGCCCCCCTTGCACTCCAAGCCTCCTCCACGGTGCTGCTCCCTGTAGCTCTGAGGGTCAGGTGACTTTCTGAAGACCTCAGAGGCAGCGCAGGTGTTCTGGTTTGGGGTGTGGGCGGAGGCCCAGGTGTTCTGGTTTGTACATCAGCCCCTCGCCTCATCATGGCAGCCGGGCGGACCAAGGCAGGTGGAGGAAACCGAAATGGGGCGTGGAGGGCAAGCTGCCCAGCGGCGACTCCCTAGGGGACCTCAGGGCGAGGCCCGGTCCCCAAGCCCCAGGGAGCTCAGAGCACGCGGCTCAGTTCCTAGGACGGAGACAGCAGCACCTTTGGCCTCAGCTGCTTCCTTGCCCTGAAGGTGTGTTCAGGAGCCTGTGGCAGGCACCCCCCACAGCGTGTCTGTCCCCCGGGCTGGGAGCCAGCTAAGCACAAGAGACACCTGTCCCCTGTCCACAGGCCTGAGGAGGAATCAGGCTCAGCCCAGCCAGCGCAGCCCGGCCCTCCCTAGCGGTAACTCCCTGCGGTAGGGGGTCAGGACAGAGAAGATAAGCTGCTCCCCAAGAGAGAGGAGAGGCCAGAGGATGGGAGCTGCTCAATTGCCACTGGGAAAATCCTGAGCATAAAACGCAGCCACCAAGGTCGTGTGAGCCCTAGCTGGGGTGGCTCAATGGATAGAGCACTGACCAGGGACTGAAGGGTCCTGGGTTCGATTCTGATCAAGGGCACGTACCTCAGGCCGCAGGCTTCATCCCTGGCCCTGGTCAGGGCAGGTGTGGGAGGCAACCAATCAATGTGTCTCTCCCCCTCCCTTCCACTCTGTCTAAAAATCAATTGAAAAAACATCCTTGGGTGAGGATTAGCAAACAACAAAAAAAAAATGGTGTGAGCACCAGCCATCGGCCCCTCTCTGTTAGGCTGGGGACCTAGAGAGATGAGGACTCAGTGCCTCACTTGCCCTCAGAGGCTTGGAGACATTCTGCTGCACATGCTGCTAGGCCGAGGGCCCGGACAAACCGCACATGGCCTTAGAGCCTGAGGGGTAAATGCGGACAGGCCAGCACCTGTCGCCTCCCCACACCTGCACAGCGACGGGGGCTGAGCCTGTGGCTACCTGGTGGAGATGTGAGGTTCAGGGGAGTCCGATCGCAGGGCTGCCTCAGGCCGGCTCACTGCCCACCCGCTGCCCCCCGCTTGGGGTCCCTGCCGCTCTCCAACGCCAGCCTGGCAGAGTGAGAAGGCCCAGCCTGTGTGGTCAGACCCCTCGGTCGGACTCTGGGCTCTGACACGTCCCTGAGCCTCAGTTTCCTCGTCTGTAAAACAGAGGGGAGTCAGAGCTCTTTATTTTATTTTTTTATAGATTATTTTCATTATTTAAAATATATTTTGTTGATTTTTTACAGAGAAGAAGGGAGAGGGATAGAGAGCCAGAGACATCGATGAGAGAGATCGATCAGCTGCCTCCTGCACGTCCCCCAGTGGGGATGTGCCCGCAACCAAGGCACATGCCCTTGACCAGAATCGAACCTGGGACCCCTGAGTCCGCAGGCCAATGCTCTATCCACTGAGCCAAACCTGTTCGGCCAGAGCTCTTTAGAGGCTTGGCGAGCTCGGCCCTTTTAACTTCGTCAAACGGGAAAGCCTAGGACACGGAGCCCGGCACCGACGGCTGCCCCTGGTCCCTCCGCGGCTCCCGGGCCAAGAGCAGGCGCCCAGGGTCCCAGCCTCCCCTTCTCCTTCTGGGCTCGGGCTCCACAGGTTCAAAGACCGTCGTCTGCTGCTCACAGAGGACACCCACACCGTCACCCCCCGTGGGTGAGCTGGGAGTCAGAGAACACGGGCACTGAGGGACGGGCTGATTTCGAATCGATTGTAACTCGGGACCCACTGCGTGGCATTGATTTTTCTGCCCTTGAAACCATGCCTAAGTCTCTGTCCTCTGTCGGCGAGGCCTTACACAGGAACTGGCATCCAGTAGGTGTTCAGGAAAGGGCCTGGTTACCAGGTAACCTGGAAGGCCACCCCACCCGTCTCCCAGTCTGAGAGACTTGCCCAGCCTGGGCCCCAGGACATAGGGGGATGAAGCCCTCCTGCAGGTCCAAGGCCAGGCTCACCTGCTTCCCTGTCTACCTTGGACACTTACTCCTCCCCTCCTCGCATCTGTTGTCCCCGGTGCCCCTCCCTGCCCTGTTCCAGTCCCTCTGTTTGCCTCTTCAGAGGCTGGTCTGGCGCCGCTGTCTCCAGACCAGCCCCAGAGCCTCTGGGGCAGGACAGCATGGCTTTTTCCACCCTCGTTCTCTGCAGCCGCCTAGGACACTTTGCTCCATTGTCTGGCCAGCTGCTCCATACTCTGATGTCACCCCCTGGACAGTGGGGCCAGAGAGCAGGGACCCGGGGCGGCACCCGGGAGGGACAGAATGAATGCACAGCCACACGGTGACTTCCTTCGCCTGGGAGAACGCCCTGTGTCCAGCTGTCCTGTTATAACATCAACATGGAGTGGGCACTCACTGTGTGACGGGACTGGACATCCTGTCTTGCCGTCTCCATCACAACGGTCTGAGGCGGGGCTATTTGGTAGGTGGGGAAACTGAGGCTCGGAGGATAAGAAACTTGCCCAGGATCGCCCAGCTGCTAAGGGGCAGAGAGCCAAGATCAGAAACTAGGCAGTCTGACTTCAGAGTTCTGAATGCTCATGTTATGATGTTTCTCCCAGCGTGTCTCACACACACACACACACACACACACACACACACTGGGCTGGGCTGGGCCGTGTGGAATCCCATGGGGATCCAAAAGTCGCCAAAGAGCCCGCCTCCTGTCAGCCGCACACTCAGCACCCAGGCTGTCTGACGACCTTGCCACGTGACGTGGTATTTCTATCGCACACATAAGCCGTCGCGCCCTAGATTCCTGAGCAAAACATCAGCCTGGTGCCTCCTCATCCTTCCAGACAGCTCCTGGGGAAGCCTCGCTGCTCCCGGCTCTGTAAACTCTGCCCCCCAAGTCATGTCCTCCTCTGTGTGGGCACTGACCTCAGGCCCGCATCACTGCCAGGAGGCCTGTGGGCCCAGCTCACAGAGCTGGTATGGGTCCTGGGGCCCGGGCCTGTGCTGTGCTGTCCGACCCCAAGGCCGTGCAGGGGCTTCACTGGGGTCCCCTCCTTTTCCCAACTCCGGTTCCTGATTCCGTCTCCTCCCACCACCCCAAGGAGGCGGAGTCCTGCAGGGAGGTGTGAGTAATGCAGGCAGGATAGGTGGCAGGCTCCTGGGCCCTATTTTTGGCTGTGGCCTCATTCTGGAATGTGCCCCAAGGTCGAGTGACAGTCCTCTCAGGCTGTGTCAGGAGGAGGAGGAACCCTCGCCGGCACCTCCTGGGGGCGAGGGCCGGGCAGGCAGGTGGCCAGCCGACCAGCCCGCTCCTTCCTTCCCGCCTCTTTGGCTCCTGAGCCCCTCAGCACTGCTATTTCAGGGTCGGTTGGAGCCTCAGTGTCCACATCCCAGATTACCCCGGGACACGGGACTCTGGCATCTGTGCCATCCACACCCTGGCCGCCCTCAGCCCCACGCAGATGAGGAGAACACAGGCCCGGGCTCCAGCTCCTCCCGATCAGACCCCCCGCCCCAAAGCATGTCTGTCGGGGGAGGTGATGCTTGGGTGGCTTTTGCCCTCCGGGTCTTGCGGAAGCTGCCAGAGCCCTGACGGTGTGACCATGTCCCCATCCCCACCCCGTGCTTTCTGCCTTGGTGTGCGGGACGCGTTCAGTCCTGTCGGAGGAGGGCGGCTGTTTTGTCTTCGTTCCCCGTGGGTGACCGGGAACCGGAGAGGGACCCGGGGTCATAAGAGAGGAAGGGACACGAGTGCTGACAACTCCGAGTCAGATGCTACACACACCGTCCAAGTTCATCTCCCAACCCTCTGCGAGCTGATTTTGCTCTTTCACCATCTCCCACCCCAGGCTGCGACCTCCAGGAGGCCAAGCCAGTATGTGCTTTGGTCGCCTCTGCATGCCCAGCCTGACCACAGAGGGCGTTGGATGAATGTGTGTGGGATGAAGGAAAGAGGCAAGCCCTGCAGGCCTCATGGAGGAAGAGGCTCCGCTGAGGTATCATTGTCCTCTGGTGACCCCTTATCCCAGCACCATTCCTCATCTCAACGCACCTCCAGGGGAAACAGACAAAAAAGGGGGAAAGCCTTAGGCTCCTGGTGTGACCAATAACTCAGATGCGAAGCAGTGAGACGTACACAGATGGTGACCCATCCCTCTGCCAGGCCTCACAGAAGGGGAGTGCCCTTTACCAATGAGGTATCCGGGTGGCGGGGTTCATAATTTCCATTACTAATAGCTAACATCACCTAATATGTGCTCAACATACATTATCTCATTGAATAGTTACAACTCCATGAGGTCTATATTATTCACCTCCATTTAATATTCTCTCCATTTTAGAGATGATGGAAGAGGCTCAGAGAGATTGAAAATGTTGCCCAAAGTCCCTGGCCGAGCAGGAAACCCAGCCCAGGTCGCAAGCCCATGCATCTAACCACATGTATGCTATCTTGCAGCACAGGTTTAAGGATAGTGAAGTGTGGTTTTCTCTCCATTTTGCTTCCTCCCTTTTCCCTGCTAAACCCACCAGAAAGTTTTACTGCCTGAGATTCTGAAAAGACATGTTCTAGGCCAGCTTCCCTAAGGATGGTGAGACCATGACCTTCAGTCTAAGTCACAGGTAGAGATAGATAGAGATAGAGATAGAAATAGAGATAAAGATAGAGAGATAGAGAGATAGAGATAGAGATGATAGAGATAGAGAGATAGAGAAAGAGATAGAGATAGAGAGAGATAGAGATGATAGGGATAGAGATAGAATAGAGAAAGAGATAGAGATAGAGATAGAGATAGAGATAGAGATATAGAGATAGAGATTTTAAGGCCCCTCTCAGAAGTGTAGAGAGTTCAGTTACTCCATCGGGGAAAGGGGATTGCACTTAATGCTTGATGCACCTTATATAACCCTCACACTAACCATGACAAGTAGGACTTTCCAGATAGGAACTCTGAGGCGGAGAAGGTTTGACAGGGCATCCCTGTTCAAGGGTGAGCTTGGGATTCAATTCAA